TAGATTTCCTGGTTCCATAAATACAGCAAGTTGTCCTGGTTCTGAAGAATCAAAGCAGGCCCCGTTCATTACACTATGACCATGTTGGTACCGTGATTGTTGTTCCATTTTATGGAATGGTTGTGTTCATTTCACAGCAGATGTAACGGGACTCAAACCTTCCAAAAAGTTCAACTTTGGTCACGTCAGTCCACAGAATATTTTCCTAAAGGTCTTGGGGATCATCAAGATGCTTTATGGCAAATTTGAAATTAGCCTTTGGGCAAAAATGGGATCCATGTAGAGTTCCAAGGAGAAAACCACTGCTGACGAAAAATAACACAGTGTCTTTCTTATTGTTGCATTATGAACATTGACCTTAACCGAGACAAGTAAGGCCTGTAGTTCTTTAGATGTTGTTCAGTGTTGTTCTGTGATCTCCTGGATGAGTCGTTAATCACTATTGGAGTCATTTTGGTCAGCCGGAATTCTAGGGAGGTAACAAGTGTTACAAGTTTTCTCCATTTGTAGCTAGTGGCTCTCACTGGAGTTTAGCTTTGTAGCCCTTTCCAGACTGAAAATGTCAGTGACTTTATATCTCAGCTGTTTCTTTAGATCATGATGTGACTGCTTTTTGAGGTTTTTAAACAACTTCACTTTGTTCTACTTTTCTGATTTCTTTTTTTTAAATTCACCTGGTCTGACAGTAATCAGGTTAATCATGATTTAACAACAGAGAGCAGTTTCTTTTTCATATAGAGCCAAGTATGTATCCACAACATAAAGCTAATTTTGGACAATCCCAAAAGTAAGGCCTCCTATTATTTTAGAAATACAAACAACCTTTTATTTTCCATACTATTGACATTATTTTAAAGCTTGAAGACTTATTTATTTTTCTACATAATTTATTTTTATTTTTCTACATAAAAATGCATCAAGCATTTCGGTTGATGGCTTTTTGTAGATGCTGTGGCAATTTTACAATGCCTATGTCATATCCGCTCGCCACCGCTGCAGAATCACTTTATGGACAAATGTTCTTTCAACTTTGGGAACAGGCTGCAAAGTCCGGACAATAGGGTGGGTGGGTGATGAAGTTGCAACCAAAGTTTTGCAGGAGAGCAACAGTTTGATGCACAGTGTCGTTGAGAATTCTTCCGCGCAGTGCGGAACTGTGTTTTAGGACCGAAATGGGGCATTGTTGGTTGACTTTCTGCCTGTTGGGACCACAATAAATGCTGACAGGCACTGTGAAACACGGGGAAAAACTCAGAAGGGCATTTCAGAACTGGAGAAGAGGAATGCTGAGCAAGGGCGTAAGCATTCTCCACGACACCACGCGTCCACGTGTCTCCCGTCAATCTGTCGCTCTCCTGCAAAACTTTGGTTGAAACTTCATCACCCACCCGCCCTATAGTTCGGACTTCACACCCAGTGACTACGACCTGTTCCCAAAGTTGAAAGAACATTTGTTCGGAAAGCGACGGCGGCGAGCGGATATGACATAGGTATTGTAAAACTGCTACAGCGTCTACAAAAATGCGTCAACCGAAATGGCAATTATTTAGAAAAATAAATAAGTCTTCAAGCTTTAAAATGATGTCAATATTATGGAAAATAAATGGTTGTTTGTATTTCTAAAATGATAGGAGACCTTACTTTTGGAATTGCCCTCGTATTTTCCTTCAGGTTTATGACCGTGACTGTCTGCAATAATGATGCTGCTACAGCACTGGTACCAGAGGTTTGCAATGGAATGTTACAGTAACAGAAATTTGATTTTAAAGTGAAATGCAGTTGAAATTTTACATTTCTAATCATAGAGTTCAGCTTAATTCTCTTAAAGAGAGTTCTTAATTCTGATGGCATAGCGTTGGAGTAGCAGTCTGTATCATCATCATCATCATCTGTCACGACTTAGTCCACATTAGTTCACCGTACACAGAACACCAGCTGCTTAAAGAGCATTGAATATCAGATAGTACCCCTCTGTGACTCCCTCTTTTTCCTCACATTTTATAAGAACTAAGTAAATATCATTTGTTTTATTACAATTGTAAAATCCAGCTGATTAAAAAGTGTGGTGAATGCTGCTCTTTAGCTGCATCATTGACCACAGTCATGTGTTATGCTTGTGGGATGGATTATTATTTCTTACTAAGAGAGAACAACAACACTGACTTTCAGAAGGTCACTCTCTGCTTCTGGCAAAATCACACAACTGTGCACTAGCCTGTTGCTTTACAGCTGTGGCTCCTACTTCGGTGTATATGTGGAGAGTGTCCCAGCAGAGGCAGTGTGTAATCATAAATCTCTGAAATGCAGCGTGAAGCAGTTTCACTGCTCCTACGTTTGTTTTTTTGTTTTGTCTTCATTATATTTTTGATCCTTGGTTAATAGTTTTTAGTTTTGTCATATTAGTCTGGTATTTGTTGAATTGATTTCTTGTTTCATATTCTAGTATATTGGAAGTTTTAGTTCTTATGATTTTGATTCTAATGGTTATTCTACCATTTAACGTTTTGTGATCTCTTGTGTTCTGTTTAACACCTTGACTATTTTTAGTAGCAGTTTGTGCCTCCTTGTGTTTTGTTGTCACCTTGGTCCTCTTGACATTGTTAACCATGTCTGTGTCAGTGTGTTTTGGTTATTTCTTGTTTTACTTAGAAAATCTGATGTATTTTGTACCCTGATAGTTTCGCTTCCTCTCTTTGTCTTTCTCAGATTCTCTATATTGTTTTCACCTGTTGTTAAGTACTTTCATATGTGCTGCCCACCTGTTTGTCATCCCCCAATAAGCCCTTAAATATATATACCCTATATGGACAAAAAAACAGACTAGACCTACAGGAGCTGCTAGTCTATGGAAACCAAGGTCATGAAGCTCCCATCTCACAGTGTTTGTGTTGAAGGTAATACCAGCAAAGGTCTGAGTCTGGAGAGCATTAGCAACTTTTCCACATTATCTGCCTCAGCACTGTGCGACCCTGATCTGTAGCTTTACTTTGTGGCTGAGTTGATGATGATTATTAAATAATTATTCACTGATCGCTTGAGAGTGTTTACTGGAGATTGTTGCCTGTCGCCAGGTGAAATTGGTTACAAAAAGGTGTATGGGGTCACACCAAAAACCTTCTCGTGATTGGTTTGCTTGCTAGCAGATCACCGTGATTGCACATAGTTTCTTTGGAAAACACTGACTTGTCTGCAAATACTTGCCAGCTTTTGATCAGGTAGTTGTGAAACTGTGAAGACTGTGACACAAATCAGAAACAGAGACTGTTTGTCTTTAAAGTAAATGTAACACTTTTTGAAATAAGTTTGCTTCAGTAGTGAAGCACAAGTTTTACTTGGAAAGCAAATGGTTTCCATTTTCTGCTCCGTGGTAAGTTAGTGAGCGCTCGTAGACCTTTCGGCAACTTCCATGTAGACTACAGGTAACTGTGGCAATCTGTTAGCAACCACAGCGATCAGGACACTGTCAGTTTGCACTCTCTTTGTGACCCATTTCATCCCAGGACAGCCAGCAACCTCCTGCAGTTTGGACAAAAGACATTTTTCCAACCAGTTGTTAGCTACCACTGTGTGTCATTTCAATCATAGTTCATGCCATTCAGAATAGAGGGAGTTGTTTTTTGTTTTGTTTTTTTGTTTTTTTTAAATATGAGACATAAACTGAGCATTGAAGCATTGGTGAAGAATATAAAAATGAGGCTTAGAAAGAAAAAACGGGATCTATTGGCAATAACTTGTGAATCATCCACTGTTTGGCAAAAAGAAAGATCAATAGATGTGAACAGAGAGTGCAGGTGGTTCAACAAATGGCTCGATCAGACATACAGACTTTCATCTAAAAATTAGGGTGCTGAGCAGCATTCAACAAGTGGGGCACTCAGTACAGAAGACTATCCAGCATAAATCAATACAATGGAACAGCCTAGATCTATGCTTGTATTCCTCAGACTACTCAAATAGTGTTGGAAAGGGTTATTGCAGCTGATTTATCAAGTTACAATGTGAAGATAAAGAAAGGGAGATAAAATACGCAGATGGCTGATGGTTTTATCTTTCTATCTCAGTGATAATGTACAGTGCATCCAGACAGTATTCACAGCCCTTCACATATTCCACATTTGTCATGTCAAAGCCTTATTCCACAATGGATTACATTTATTTTCACCTAAAAAGTCTGCACACTCCATACTCCATGAAGTGAAATACTTTTGCTTGAAATTCTTGCAAATTTATAAAAAAATAAAAACAAAAATATAACACATTAATAAGTATTGACAGAATTGAACAACAGTTTTTTGAAGCACCTTTGGCAGCAATTACAGCCTCTATGAGTATGATGCTTGGTGCACCCGTTTCTGGGTAGTTTCTCTCATTTTTCTTTGAACTGCTTTAAGCTCCATCAGGTTAGATGGGCAACATTTGTGTGCAGCCATTTTTAGATTTCTCACAAGATATTTAATTGGGTTTCCACTAGGGGTGGGCGATATAAACGATATACGATAGAAACGATATAAATTTGGCCAACGATAGAGATTGTGACTATACCGCTCTATCGCAATAGCGCATGTTGATGATGTCATCAAGCTGCGCCTGTTTTGGTCGAAAGCATCGCAGCGGCTACAACCATTATCATCTGCAAATTATGCCGACAGTCATAGCAAAGAGATGAAGCACTTTTGAAATATGGGGAAAGCCAAAAACTGCGCTTCCTCCACTTCCGTAACATTGATTCATTAATGCTGAATTCTCTCGCAGCTGTTCTGTTCCCATGTTGTTGCAGTATATTAATAACTAACCTCGTATTGTGGATGAATGATCTCAGTTGTTCTCCTGACTGAAGTTTGGCCCGTGTATACCATCCTGCTATGCGATTGCATTTGTCCCTGACCACCAGAATCCCTCACATTAACTTTTATTGAGTGGAAAAAGTTGGCGTTCATCCTCCAGCCTCACTGTGCTAATGTTATGCTAACATAGCTGTGTTGCTAGCAATCACGTAGCACAACATTATATACCAGGTAATCCAACTTCAGTAACCCTGCAAACGCCACTGCTGTTTAATTTTCTGTCTTCATTATTTTGGAAGTGGTAGCAGAGCTGTACGTTTGAATTAGTTTCAAAAATCTCTCAGAACATGGTATGGAATGTTTAGGTGGAAACTAGCGAGCTAACTTCCTGTTAACTTCTAACTC